GCTACACCATAAGAGGAAGGAGGTGCCCCATCTAAAAAAGAAGGTAGAAGTCGCTTTCTTGGAAAAATTAAGAGAGGTGGAACATAATGTCCAGAAGCCGAAAAACAAATAGTGGCTGTTACATTTTGCCCTCTTTCAGCAGAAGAAAGTTTTCCTACTTGCTTTCTTCCTTTAGTTGCAATAATTTTCCCCTGACTTTTGGCAACACAAGAAAGCCCTGTTTCATCTACATTATAAATGCGGTCTGGGCCAAAATTATGTTTTTGAATACATTCTATTAGTAACTTATAAAATGATTGTACAACAGGCTTGTTAAATCCCATAGCTCGAGCTGCTGATGTTGGCTCTGGAGCTCTAATAGACAGTTCTGGATGTCTATGTAGAAATCCTTTTACCCAATCTTGTCCTTTTAAAAATAATTTAACACAAATAATTTAAAGAAATACATTACAATTAAATTAATTTCAGGTTTACCTGCTGTTGCAGTTTTTTTACAAAAATTATGGTCTATTTTGTTTATCTCTGCTAGATCAAAAGCAAGTTTCCTTAGATCTAACATTGTTAGGCCAAACATTCTACATTCCATTTGCTTAATATATTCTACTAATTCTAGTTCTTGACTTTAGTTAAAGACTGGTTTGAATCTGAATAATTGTTTTATGCCTGAATAATAATAATTATTATTATTGTATCATTAATTTAGATGTATACAAGTATCTGTAATTTTTTTTGTAATATGGAAAATAATTCTACCTACTGTAGGTACAAATTAAAAAATGAATAATAAAAATATTGATGAAATATTAAAACAAGTATAAAATTCTAAAAGATTATTTATCAAATTCAATTTATTATTTACTATGGATAGACACCTATGACCTACCTAAACTTAAAAATGTCATAGGTATGAATCACAGTAGGTAATGATTTATAATCCATTAGGTACAATTTCAATAATAAATAAATAATTGTTTTTATTTAAAACATACTTTTTTTAGAGGTGAGATCACATAAATTAATTTCTTTTTTCTTCACTCTTTGAACATAGTCATATAGTGTAGTGTATGGCACTTTGTATTCATCAACAGCTCTTGTATAACTTAAATTATTATCGATAATGTCTTTAATTGCATTTCTTAAATTATCTACACACCAATTTTGCCATTTGGACTTTCTTATATAATTTCGAACCATTTTTAAATATTGTTGCTACTTAATAAAATAAAATAAGTATTTATTAGTTAGGTCTGAGGTGAACTTAACCCTCACTCAAAATAGAGAGATATCAGAGATTAAACATTATTAAAACTAATAAACAATCGCTTTTGCCCCATCGCTTTTGCCCCAAAGCATAATTTTTACAAAATTGTTTATTTCTTATGCAATATTATTAGATAAAAACAAGTTAGTGATTGAAAAACAGTCTTTACAAGTTGTAGATTCATACTAGACAAGAATGATGATTGTAATATAGTTCTATCATAGCTAAATCTTAAATTCAAAGTATGTAAATATAATAATAATTGGATTTAAAATTTTCATTATCAATTAACAATTCAAACCATAACGTTGGTGTCGATGTTAACAGTGATAACAACATATTTAATAATAAGGAATGAAATAAATCTAAAAATGATAATTTTCATCCATAAAATAACGCGTGATAAGCAATATCGGTTTTACCCCAGTATCGGTTTTGCCCCGTATTCCCCTACATAATATATATTTAATAAATAATCACAAAGTTTACTTACGCTGTTTTCACGGCTATACGGCTGGTTGAGAAATGAAATTAGTCTACGTCGGTCGCAGTGCCTGTTGCCAAAAATCTTATTTCCATCACTCCACTTTATCGGGTAACTACGACACCTCAATGATAGATAAAATTACGCGATTAGGAAACGATGCGTGTGACAGAGATCGATATAGTGGATACAGGCGATCAGTGGCATCACGAACATTTTCTTCACAAGGGCAAACATTGACATTACCCACCCACCCACCTATAAAAACTGACAATATACCTATACATTAAATATTAAAAACATACATAATAATATCATAGAATACTATGATAATTCTATGATAATATTTAATATTGTTATCATTTTACAAAACAAATCAATATAAATTTAACAGTTTATTACCGTACCTTTTATATTATGAGACCATACTAATTTATCATTAGCAGTTTAGTAAATTTAATTATTTTAATACATTTAAAAATAACAAGTTTAAAAAAATAAAAAATGTATAATTACCTATAATATATTAAAATATAATATTTATGACCAATGAGTTTATGAATATAATAACAGTTTTTTCATCAAGGTTGATGATGTAGCTAATTCATTTATAGCTTGATTTAAATCTATGTTTATATCAGTTTCACAGTTTAGTAAAAGGAGACTTTCTAGTCTTGATTGGGTCATTGTGGATCTTAACCGAGACTTAATAATCTTAACTTTGGAAAATGAGCGTTCTGCAGCAGCAGATGTTACAGGAATGGTATATAATGCTTTATAAGCCAAGTATAAATTTGGAAAGGCTGAAGTAAGATTAAATTTTGACAACAGTTGTAACATAGACGCTGCATTTTCTTTGTTGCTTTTTGAAGTAGTAGGTTCTTCTTCATCATGATTTTCATTATCAGACCAGTCGTAGTCAGAATTTTGGGTATCATGTAATGTATCTCCAAGATTTAAGCCAGCTGTTAATGAAGAATAAGCATTACAGAATGCTGAATATTCGGTTCGAAGGGATTCTATATTTAATTCTGAAATCCAACATTTTAAAGCATCAAAGCTATCCTGAGGAAAATCCTGTTGTGAACTAAATAGCTTAATTCTTTCTACAGACAAAAGACTAAAGTCCTTTAATATTTCTCGTGCTTGAGAGTATCTGGAGTTTAAAACAGTACTAACTGTGTCTAATACAAAAAAGTAAACTTGAGATTTAAATAATGAAGATGGTGAGTTGGCAACTTCGCTAATTTCATCATGCAAATTTTCTCCATCCATTCTTTTTTTTCTTCGAATTCTGACAACCTGAAAATCTTGTTCCTCAAGCTTTTCATGTATTGCAAACTGTTTAACTTCGTCAATTAATTCATTGTATTTGCAATCATTTCTTAATTGCTCAATTCGTTTTTGAGCTGAATCGACTAAATGCATTGCTTCAATGAAATCTAATTTAGGAGACTGCATGTATACTGAAACTGGAGTTGTTATTTTAAATATATTTTTCATAAATTTCATCATTAAAATGAATTTGTAGGAAGTTACGTTTTTAAGTTGACTTATAGCTTGAGATGAAGTAGAACGGTCAGTTGATAATGTTAACTCCTCCAAACTTTCAACAATAGCAGTATATTTTTCATAAATGACGTCTAAAGCTCTATCGTGTGACGTCCAACGTGTAGAAGATAGAAATTTCAATCTTCGGCATACTTGACCAGGATATAGCAATTTTTGATGATTAATAAAACAAGCTGTGCGTTTTCTTGCTCCAAAATACTCAACCAATGCTTGAATTTCTCCAAAAAAATTGCGGGTATCCAAACATGAATCACACATATCTACTATTACCAAATTTATAACATGAGCACAACACCAAATATATTTAGCACGAGGACATTGTTATTGTATAAGTGTTCTTAACCCAGAATATTGCCCTTGCATCGATGCAGCTCCATCATATGCTTGGGCATATAAATTATTTTTCCAATCTAATCCATGTTTTTCACAAATCTTACAAAATAGTTGAATCATACCATGACCTGTTGCATCCGTTGCTACTTCTAGTGCGATAAGTCTTTCTTCTACAATTCCTTCATCGTTTACAAACCTTACAACAAATGTAAATTGTTCCATTTTGGAAATATCAGTTGTTGTATCTATAATAACTGCAAACATTCTAGCATCCTTGACTTTTTTTAATATGACTGATCTTATAGAATCACTCATTATTTGAAGCATAACATTTTGCGTTTGACCAGAAAGAAATGTTATTCTATTTGGTTTTGATGATTTTTCAATTTTGTTTAAGTGAATAGCCAAAGATGCATGGTATTTTGATAAAACTTTAATAAGTGACAAGAAGTTACCCCGATTCTTTGATGTTAAGCTTTCATCATGCCCACGAAATGCTATGTTTTGTTTTCCTAGATACAATAGAACTTCAAATATAACTCTAACTATTTCTCTGTTTTCTGCAATTTGGTTATTTGTTGTTAATCTGAAGCTGACATCCAAACGATTATTATTCGAATACTGACCTCGACTGATTTCAGACTCTAAACGTTCTTTTGAAGATTCGTGGTTCAACATTCTTGAAGTAATATGTTTCCAATCTCGAGTGCCAGTTGAAACTAATTTATTTTGTTTGGCCTTTACTAAACCAAAAAGCATACAAGAGAAACAGTATATTTTATCATTGAATGGTGAATATGCTAGCCATTGACGTCTAATATTTTTTCCATCAGGAAATTTTTTAAAATAGTATTCTTCGTGGAATGAACGACCATTTGCTATTGGAAATTGATAACTGGGCATATCTAGTACTCCTGGTTGACATGGTCCAAGTTCAAAAAAATATTGCAACAAATTACTAGAAACATTTGTTTCTAGAATAATAGCTGGATCGTTGGGAAATGTATATTTTGAAGCAGAAATTGGATGTACATTACATTGACTAACAGTAGAACTATCTTGCAACAAATCACCTAAAAATTAAAATAGATACATTAACAATAAGACTACTCTAAAAGTTATTATAATTATTATTTTTTATTTAAAGAATAAGACTTCAACAAGGGGTTATTAGCCTGATTTATTATTTTTATATTATACTAAAACTAAAATCAGTTAAAAGATAAACATTACTGATGTATTTTAGATCAAATCAAAGCTTAATAAACTTAATTTAATGGGGAAAAAACGAACAAGAATGTTAGGTTTGTTTAAAATTAAATTATTTTGAACTTACATGAAGTTGTTTTAAATGGCATATCATCATTCAAAACACTTTGATCAGCTGTGGCCATACAATCATCTATTAATTCCTTAGTGGTACTGCCATCAATCATATTATCAGTTGTAATACCTAATAACAAAATTAAAATATTCTAAAAGTTGTTTTTTTTATTTTATTTTAAATACAATTTTTAAATATATTTTAAACATAATTCATATGTCTAAAAGTTTAAATTAATAAAAATAATATAATATACAATAGTTAATAATAATTACTAAGTAAAAAGCATTATTAAATTCAGTTAAAAGATAAACATTACTGATGTATTTTAGACTAAATTAAAGCTTAATATATTTAATTTGATGAAAAAAAAAAAAATGAAACAAAATAAGTAAAGAATGTTAGGTTTGTTTAAAATTAAATTATTTTGAACTTACATGAAGTTGTTTTAAATGACATATCATCATTCAAAACACTTTGATCAGCTGTGACCATACAATCATCTATTAATTCCTTAGTGGTACTGCCATCAATCATATTATCAGTTGTAATACCTAATAACAAAATTAAAATATTCTAAAAGTTGTTTTTTTTATTTTATTTTAAATACAATTTTTA